CGGCATCCGCCCAGCATGTAACCTCAGCAAGGCTGGCAACAAACAAGCTGCTCTGCTCTGCGTTCGCAGTGCAGCAATGGTGGGCGCCAGCCGGATGGCGTACCCAGCACGTTGAGCAGCCCGATGTCAAATGTTTGGCCGCTGATCAGCTGTGTGTCGTCCTTTAGTGTGTTGCCCTGCAGCAGCAGGAGGCGGCACGTGCATGCCAGGTCGCATGGGCTTCGGCGGCCAGGCAGATTTGCTTTCATCGGCAGCGGCCCGGGCTGGCTGCACGCCTCGTGCCGTGGCCGCCTGCGCATGGCGCCGACATCAGCCGCCTGTGGCGCCACCCACGTGCGGGCATTACCACCGCTGGCGCCCATCCACGCCCATGCAAGCAAATCACGCATACCCCTCGTGCCTACCGCGCAGCCCTGGAGGTCCCTTCCTCTCCCTCCTCCCCAGCCCAGCCCAGCACACCTTGTCATCCTCCATTCGGTATGTGGCAAGCCCCTCCACTAGCAGCATGAGGGTGCACTTGGTCGCGGCGGCGCTCAGGATCTCCTCCCCTGCCTTGAACCGCACAAAGCGGGCCCGCTTAGTGGACTGCAGCAGAGGAAGTGCGTGTGTGTGCATGGGAGGGAGGCATGGGTGGTGGCTGGCTGCAACTCCGCTCTGGTTGCTCCTCCAAATCCTATTCCTGTTAGGACAGGAAACAACAGCTGGGCAACCAAGGCATACACAGACACACACAGGGTCCCCTTGCGCAGAGACACACACAAGAAAGCCCGTGCACTCCCCGCCTCTCACCTCCAACACCTCCAGCTTGCCCATGCCCGAGCGGCGATACAAGAACTGCCACAGCTGGTGCAGGTCGGCGTCCTTGAAGGTGATGCGCCGCTCGTCCCAGAACAGCTGGAACAGTGCGCAGCCGTGAAAGAACAAGTTGAGTGTGGCCCTGCAGGGAGGAGGCCGAAGGGAGGGGAGAGCGCCAAGGGGGAGGGTGCGTACTTGCGGCGGCAGGAAAGCGGCGGCTCACGGCTTTACGCACTTGGATGCCATATTGATGGGGCAAACCCCTGCCTGCTATGCAGCATCCTCCTCCTTCTCACCAGATGATGCCATCCAGCGAGTAGAAGCCCGGGTTTGACACTCCCGGCCAGGCCGGGTAGCCCACGCTGGCGGCAGTCATGAGCCAGATGTAGGCCATGGTGAGGCAGAGGCGGATGAGCAGGAGGCTGCAGGGGCCAGAAGTGGAGGGCAGCGCAGGCCGAGCAGGTGGGCACGTGGGGGGCAGCCGAAAGCGCCAGCGGTACATGGCGGCAGCCGCGCACAACTTAAAAGCACGTCGCCAGTACACTCACTCGCCAAACAAACCCGACATCAGGAAGCTTGCACTGCCCTGCGTTCCAGCAGGCAACCCGCGCGTGAGTTGTGGCGGCAACCGAAGCGGGTGGGACGCAGTCCTCCTGGGGTCTAAGCCAGCGCTGCCCAGCACTGGGCAGGGCTCTTCTGAATGTTCCACCAACGCACTGGGCTGCCCAGCGCAAGTGCTGTCACATGCCGCGCGGACAGGGCGCATGTGGGTAGCGCCAGCGCCCCTTTCGCGCCGCCCAGCACTGCCCGGGGGATGCTGAGCAACACTGGCCGGTGGGATGTTCTGGCCACTGGCCAGAACGCTGGATTAGGCCCCCCGGGGCTCGGCGGAAGGGTTTCCCTGCGTTCCAGGCAGCAGGATCGCTTCCGCGACTCACCAACTGCATCCAAATGCATGCTGGGGTGAGTCTGGTCGCCATGGTGCCGAAGAGACGGGAGTTTATCCAGTAGGAGTTCTCACTCGCCGCAATGGCGGTCTTCCTGCCCCGGGATGCTCACCAAGTGTGTTTTCTGCAGTTGCTCCTTCTACTAGGGTGAAGAAGCCGGTGAAGAACGCGCGGGGAACCTCAGCACATAGCACGGGAGGCACGCGGGCCCGGGAAGTTCTTCAAAGCAAAGAACCTCTTCATTTCTCGATGCAGAGCCACAAATTTACTAGCACGATTTGCGCCCAACTGGCATGGCGGAGCCTGGAGCTGGGGCTGCAAACCATGCCGGGAAGCAGCCACGCTCCTGCTGCAGCCGCGCTAGCAGCAGCAGGCACACAGGGGTCGAGCAGCGGGCGTGCCCTCACCGCGCCGTGGCCGCCGCTCCTCGCGGCCAGCTGCAGGCCGTGAGAGGTGGCAAACTTGACGGCGGCAACCACGTCGGCCGTCCCTGCAGCGCACACGCATGTGCACCGCTGGCCAGCTGTCTGGAGTAGGCTTACATCCTGTCCCCCTGGCCCGCAGAACGGCAGGCCTGCGGCAGGCGGGCAGTGGGGCCAGCGGCGGCAGGGGCGGCAGAGGCAGACCTTCGCCCCGCGGCTGGACCACTAGCGCCGGCGCCGGTGTGGGGGCGGTTTTGCCGTTCGCAGTGTGGCTGGGGGAGACCCCCCTGACTTCTAAACTGACTGATATACACCCGATACAGCAATTGAATGTTCAGGCCCCAACTGAGTGCGCAGCTGAGAAAAAAGAGGGTCCCACACTTTTATGGCTTGCTGGAAGCCCTCGTCCGCCGGCAGCAGCACGTTGCCGTGCACAGACACACGCAGCGCCTCCACTCCCTCCATAATGTTGTTGCACTGGCCAGAGAGAAGCGCAGGGTTTTCATAGGGCCTGCTGTTGCTAAACACAGTGCTCTGGAGGATGAAATGAAATCATTCTTATCATGTTCCCAGCTTGATTTTGGGCGGTCAGTTGGGCCAGGCTGTGTGGCGAGAGTCAACGCCCGGCGGCCCTGGCCGGCAACGGAGCCAGGGACGACATTGAAGAGGAGCGCTGGATGAAGAAACAAGGTTGCAAGGTAAAGGAGGCGCTAGCCGCTGGGAGGGTGTGTCATGTGGCTCCTGCCTCAGCATCAGTTCTCTGAGTCAAGTCGGGTGGTGTCGTGCCCTGCCATGAGGGGCGATCCGTCACACCATCGCCTTTGCCCCAGCAGGAGAACCAGGGGCTGAGGTCAAGACCTCAGCCGAGATGGCATTCAGGATTCTCTGGCTAGTATACCGAAGCTCCAGGGGCTCTCGGGACAGCACCGCATCATGGTTGCCCCGCCCCGCAGCACCCAGCGCCATCAGCCGGTTCCTGCGGCAGGGCAGCGTGGGGGTAGGCGGCATGGGGTGAGCAAGGTGGCGTGGCAACGCGGCATGGGGAGGTGGCGTGGCGGGGCAGGGCAGCCGGCCCTTGCTCTCGCGGCTGGCCCAGCATGCCGGGGAGCAACCACAACGCGTTGCCGGTGCCGCTCCTGCACCTCGTGATGCATGCAGCCGGGGTTGCCACCATGTGATGCATGCAGCCAGCCCTCTGCTGGCGACGCCAGCCCTGCTGCCACCGCCAGCGAGCACCGCAGCAGGCGCACCTCGCCAGCGCCCCCGCCCGCGGCATGGCCGTGTGCCGCATGCCCGGCGGCAGGAAGGGCGCCAGGGTGGAGGGCAGCCAGGTCAGCACGCCCTTCAGGGTGGGGGAGGGGTCTTCATAAGGCTCCAGAGGGTCTGTGAAGTCTGATGAGCGAGCCAGGCCTGCGCAGGGGAGTCACCGGGGCTGCTGACGTGAGCGGCGGGTGGTGCATGTGCCCTCTCCTCTGCAAGGCATGCCGCAGCGCGCCCGATGCTGCCCGGGCCCGTGCCGCCGCACTCGAAGGCCTGCCGGCAGCCGAGCTGCCAGGGGCAGCCCTGCCTGGCGGCCTGCCTTCCTCACAACCCCGACCGCCTGAAACCCTGCCTGCCCGCCGCACCCTGCGTGATGCCAGCTGGCTCCGGGTGGCCGCGGCTGTTGACGGGCGGCTGCCCCATGTGGGTGCGGTGGTACCACTCCAGCCCCGTCTGCAGCCAGGGAGACAGGGTGCGGCAGCCGGGTGCACGACAGATGCGGGTGGGAAGGCGGCAAGCGCGGCATGCGTGCATCAACCTCCTCCCTCGAGCACCCTGCTCCCACTGCCAGCCTGTATACCGCAGCATCCCCACTCTCCCATCCAGCAACCCCACGGGGGGGGTGGGGGGGTGGGGGGGATGCCGCCTCGCTCGCATATCACCGCCACCACCTCACATGCCACAGCTGCACGCCAGGACCCCGCCGCCCACCTGGCAAAGCGCAAAGTTGCGCCAGAAGGCGGAGACTGCGGGGGAGCAGCGGGTGGCCAGGTAGTTGAGGTAATCCAGGTGCCACAGCACCACTGTGCAGTCGGACACCGCCCGCACAACCCGTCGCTCGCACTCGCTGTGCTCAAAGGCGATGTAGACGCCTGTGGGGGGCATGGGATGGCGGGGTCGGTTTTTTTTGCGTGTAGTGGTGATGCATGCGGTGGGGTGGCGGGGGACGGGAGTTGGTGGTGGTGGGCGCGGTGCGCAGGCGGGCTGCTAGGGTGAGCATCACCAGCGCGGCGTCTGCCCAGCATGCAGTCTCAGCCAGGCTGGCAACATACAAGCTGTCTGCTCTGCGTTCGCTGTGCAGCAAAGGTGGGCGGCAACCGGATGGCGCACCCAACACGTTGAGAAGCCCAATGTCAAACGTCTGGCCGCTGATCAGCTGTGTGTCGTCCTGCAGTGTGTTGCCCTACAGCAGCAGGAGGCGGCGGGTGCGTGCCGGGTCGCATGGCCACGAGAGGCTGCCACTGGCAGGCATCAGCCGGGTGCCGACTCGCTGCCTTGGGCAGCGCCCCGGGCTGGTTGCACGCCTCCTGCCGTGGCTGCCTGCGCATGGCGCCGACATCAGCCGCCTGTGGCGCCGCCCACGTGCAGCCACCACCACCGCCAACGCCCATCCTCGCCCATGCAAGCAAATCACGCATGCCACTCACGCCTGCCGTGCAACCCTGGAGGTCCTTCCCTCCTCCCCGGCCCAGCCCAGCGCACCTTGTCATCCTCCACCCGGTATGTGGCCAGCCCCTCCATCAGCAGCATGAGGGTGCACCTGGTCGCGTCGGCGCCCAGGATCTCCTCCCCTGCCTTGATCCGCACGAAGCGGGCCTGCTTCGTGGACTACAGCAGAGGGAGTGCGTGTGTGTGTGCGAGCATGCATGCGAGGGAGGCATTGGTGGCGGCTGGCTGCGCCTCCGCCCGGGTTGTTCCTCTAGAGCACGTGATCTTATCAGGAAACAGCAGCTGGACAACCCAGGCATACACAGACACACACAGGGGGGCACTTTGTTTGCACACACAAAACACCCAGGTCCCCTTCGCAGACGCACACACACAATCAGGCCCGTGCTCCCCCTGCCTCGCTCCCGCCTCTCACCTCCAACACCTCCAGCTTGCCCATGCCCGAGCGGCGATAAAAGAACTGCCACAGCTGGTGCAGGTCGGCGTCCTTGAAGGTGATGCGCCGCTCGTCCCAGAACAGCTGGAACAGTGCGCAGCCGTGAAAGAACAAGTTGAGTATGGCCCTGCAGGCAGGGACCGAGGGGCGAAGGGAGGGGAGAGGGCAGGGGAGGGTCGAAGGGTGCGTAGAGGCAGCAGCGGCGGCACACGCATGGACATACGGGATAGGGCAAACCCCTGCCTGCTACGCAGCCCTCCTCTGTCTCACCAGATGATGCCATCCAGCGAGTAGAAGCCCGGGTTTGACACTTTTGGCCAGTCCGGGTAGCCCACAGAGGCGGCGGTCATGAGCCAGATGTAGGCCATGGTGAGGCAGAGGCGGATAAGCAGGAGGCTGCAGGGGCCAGAAGTGGAGGCCAGCGCGGGCTGGGGAGGTGTGCACAAGAGGGGCAGACGGGAGCGCCAGCGGTCGATGGCGGCAGCCACGGCACGACTTAAACGCGCGCCGGTGCACTCACTCGCCAAACAAACCCGACAACAGGAAGCTTGCATTGCCCTGCATTCACAGGCAAGCGCCCTAGCGTGAGTTGAGGCGGCAACCGAAGCGGGTGGACGGGGCTCGGTGGAAGGGTTCGGCTGCGTTCCAGGCAGCAGGATCGAGCTTCCGCGACTCACCAACTGCATCCAAATGCATGCTGGGGTGAGCTTGGTCGTCATGGTGCCTCAGGACGGGAGATCCAGACTGAGAATCACGCCGCTTGCGGGCTGCCTCCTGCCCGGGGGTGCACCCAAGTGTTGTTGCAGAGCTGCAGTGGCGCCGTGTATGATGAAGAATGCGCGGGAAGCCCAGCACACAGCACGGGGGGAAGAGTTTGCTACCTCTTCATGTCTCGATGCTGCAGAGCCACAAATGGAGTTTTAAAAGGAAAGAGGCACCGCAGCGCACAACAGGGGTGAAACGGCCGGTAGCAGCCTGCCGCCGCCGTCACAACCGCCTGCGCCGCCTGTAACTCACCCCAATCCTGCCCAAGGCACACCACCAGGCGTACCTAAACTGCTGCCGTGATTCCTAGTTTTGCAAATGTACAGCCTGGGGTGGTGGGACTGGGCTGGCAGCCATGTTTCGGCAGCAGAGGAGTGGCGGCGTCACGCCGGTAAGCGTCAAGGTGGGCAAGCAGTCGATGTGGAGTTAAGTTCGACTCATTCGGTACCAGGGTAGGGTATCGAAGACAGATGGATGCAAGTCATAGCTTCATCGATAGACGTGGTGTATGTGCAAAAGCTGCTGAAGAGCAGGAAGCGGTTCAACCGCTACCGCTACTTGAAAGGCTAGCGTCGCGGTGCTGCCGCCACGCCAACACCTCCTCCCTGCGCTGGTGCTGCACCTGCTGCCGCCGCTGCGCCGCATACTCCAGGGCGGCGGCTTGGATGGCGCTGGGGGCGCGGCGGTGCTGGTGAGGCTGCAGCTGGGGCACGGGTTGCATGGGACGGTGCGGGGCGCCTGCAGCCGCGGTGGGCAGCCTTGTCAGCCGCACGCCCGGTGGCCGGCTGCCAGGCACTGCCTCCGACGTCGAGGAAGCGCGCAAGATCCCTGTCGTGGTTTGCAGCTCGAGTTGCTGGTGCCGCTGGGGGGTGCCGCACCCGCCACGTTTGCTGACGGTGCGGGCTGGGCAGCCTGCGCAGGAGGGTGGCAGAGCAGTCTGTGAGCTGCTGTGTTCCACAATGCTACCTGGTTGTGCGCAGCAGCTTCCATACGTGCAGGGTGGTGACGCAGGCAGAAGTCAGCCTGCAGAGAGTGGCTCCCTGGCAGGCACCTTGGCAGCTCATCAAGGCCCTCACCTGAATCCCTGGTGTTGGTAGTGGAACAGGATTGGCGGGCGGCAGCCTCCGTTGAGCAGTGTTGCTTGCTGCCGCCGCCGGCGCCGCCACCGGCCAGCTTGCTGCCGCCCACCTCGGCGCAGTAGCGGGGGCACAGCAGCGGCTCCATGTCGGCCTTCACCTTGAGCGATTTGCCGCGGCCGCAGCGAAAGGCACAGGCGATGCACCGAGCACAACCTCTAAGCGCCCGGAGCATGGGTCAGGGGGAAGCGCACGAGTCGGAGAACAGGCGAGATCACAAACCAGAAAGATTAATTGCGGGGCTGCCGGTTTGCACAGCTGACGTGAGCTGCAACGCGGTATCACGCCATGTGTTGCACACATGTGCCCCTTGGGGGAGCTGCAAGAGCGAACAGAAGGAGTGGAAAAGGGTGACACAGCCCCCGGTGGCGCCCAGCACCAGCGGTGGCCAGGCAGCGGTCCGCCGCCTTGGCGGCGGCACTTACCTTTGGTGGCTGGCCCTGCAATGCACGCCTCAGGACGCAGCACGCTGGCTGCAATGTCCTAGCACACTAACACCCAGCTGGCCGCGCGTTGACCCTGGCCCAGCGGCACACTTTCCCCATCCTGGCGCGGCCCGTTCCACGCTGGGCCCGTCCCAGCATGCCGCGATGAACTTGCAGAAATTTTTCAGCGGTGGTCTTGCCCTTCTACACAAGCTGGGCAGCAGAGCTACAACAACTGCTGCCGGCCAAGCCTGGGGCGGCACAACTTACCTGGAGCAGCCTCAAAGCTGCCATCACCTGCGGACCAGCAGCAGCAGACCGGTGCAATGCATTACAGGCAGGGCGGCTGAGTGTGTGACAAGTGATTGTAGTGAGAGCTGGGCCACGATGGAGCTCCTAAGAATGTGGGGACAGATGGCGGAGCGTGGGGTTGCCCAAACAAGTATCAATTTAACAACAGAGCTGTGAAGTGGGCAGTGCGGCTGACGAAGATGAAAGAGGGCAGATAGGTATGAGGAAACACAACAGATGTGTGAGGAGTGCGATGGCATGCAGGTCACTGTACATTGAGCAGGTACACTGCTGGGATTGATGGGCAAGCCGTTCAGGCAGCTCAGAGGCCGAAAATTGCTGGGCGGCAGCCACCGCGCCGGGCACAGCGCTGTGAGCCAGCCGTCAGTGCCACTTGGTCAAAGCTCCCTGCCCAAAGGCGGGCGCCCCCGGCAGCAGCGCCTCCCCCCGACCCTGCTTCTTCTTCTGCTGCTGGGGCCGGCTGCCTGCACGCGCCTGCTTGGTCGCCGCGGGCGTGGAGGGCTGGTGGCTGCTGTGCCAAAAGATGTCCACCCCGCCCTGCGCCTTGCCGCCGCCGCCGCTGCCGCTGCGGCTGCCGGTGTGCACAGGCGGCGGCGAGGCAGCGCGGCCCAGCAGCGGCAGGCCCCACCTCGCGCTGTGCTGCTGCGCCTGCTCTGCTGCCAGCGCCGCCGCCTGCTCACGCACATAGGCAGGCTCAGCTTCCCAGCCGCCGACGGGCGAGGAGGGGCTGGTGGGGTGAGAGTGGCGAGTGTCAGCTGGTGTAGAGAAAGGAGGATGTGCTGGCGGGGAGGCTGCTCCCAGGGAGGGGTCGTATTGGAAGGTCACTGCAGCACCCGGGGAAGAGGCGGGTGGGTGAGGGTGAGGTGATGGGGGTGCTGGATGACGTCAATCTCGTTGGCGCCCTCTAAACATTGCAGTGCGGTGTTGGCAGCGAGGCAGGCGAGCGGCCTGCCTGACAGCCAGCCAGGGAGCCAGGCGGTTGGAGGTCGCAAGTTCCCACCTGCCGGCTTCTTGAAGCGCGGCGCCCACTCGTCCTCGCGCAGGGCGCCTTCGCCAAAGGCGGGCGCCGTCGCCTGGCCGCGCCACTGCCGCTGCTGGGGCGCTGGCTGCAGCAGCTCGCGCTGATCGTCCTCCTTGGTTTTCCCACCGCCGAAGCAGCAGCTTAGCAAGCCCATGCGAGAGAGGCCAGAAAGTTTCGAGGGGCTGAGGTGAGCTCGGTGTAGCTGGGAGCTGTCTCTGGGCGGTACACCCGAACCAGCAGGATGTGCAGTATGTCGCAGAAGACCGGAGGAGCGGAATGGGCGAATGTCGCCACACAGGCACGGGGTGCCAGCTGGACTCCCGCTTCCTTGCCCTCTGCCCGGGTGCAACGTGCATGGGTCTCATTGATCCGACCGCTGGTGAGCAGACCCGGGGCAGCGGTGCCACGTCCCGCGGTCGCCAGCTGGCTCGCCACCTGGCCCCTCACCGCGGCCCACAGAGATGTATAAACTCATTCGTCGCATCAACTGGACATATTTCTACCTCTGCAACCACTGCGTCAAAGCCCTGCGGTGTCATCTCTTAAAGGCAGGCAAGTTGCTGGCTTGCTGAGGGCAGCTGAGGGCAGCAGGCCCATGGTTGAGCATCCACAGCCGCCAGCTTGCTCTGCAGCCTGCGCTGAAACCCCCGCTGGACCCGTCCCCAATTGGGCGGCGGCGAACAGCGTTACCGCCGTGGCGCCGCACTAAAGCTCGCGTGTGAGCTCTAGAAGGCCCCTGAGCAGCTGACGTGTGTCCGTGCCTGCCTGCAGAGCAGAGCGACTCCTCATCAGCATTTCCCCAGCACCCCTACCAACTCCACCCAACACCCCCTACCAACACCCCTCCAACGTTCATCTCCATCATGGTCCAGCAACTCAACCACGAGACCTACATGAAGCGCGCCATTGAGCTGGCCCCTGTGTTACAGTCACCCCGCTATGATAGGCCGCGTGAGCAGACCTTGGGCAGGGGGCACACGCGATCAAGGGGCATCAAGAGAGGGGGTGGACCATGGCCGGCATCGAGGAGATGACAGGCAAGCAAGCACTGAACCACCTTACCACGACCCCAGCCAAGCGCCCTGGTTCCCCATATCGGGCAGCCTGCCAGAGTGTGTGTGCCGTGGCAGGCCTGCCAGCACCTGCCCCTGTGCACCCACACCGCTGTGGCTGCCCCCGTTGTGCAGGCGGCTGCTTTGGTGCAGTCATTGTGGACAAGGAGACGGGAGAGGTGGTGGGGGAGGGCTACAACAAGGTCATCCTGCACAACGACCCCACCTGGTGCGCTTCTCGTTGTTTGCCAGCGCTTGCCTGACCGCTGCCCGACTTGCGGCAGCCGCGGCAGCCCCAGGCAGCTGCTGCCATGAGCATGCCCCCTGAGACCCCCCCTGCCCGCACGCCCTCCTGCTGCTGCAGGCACGGCGAGATGGAGGCGATCCGCAAAGCGTGCGCCAAGCGCGGCTCCCCCCACCTGCCCGGCACGGTGCTCTACACCTCGGCCCAGCCCTGCCCCATGTGCTCCACCGCCATCATGTGGGCCCGGGTGGACCATGTCTACTATGGGGCCACCTATGAGGACGTGATGGAGAACGGCAAGTGAGTGCCAACAGCAGCAACAGCAGCAGCAGGCAGCGTGCAGCTGTGCAGCGCTAGTGTGGGGCATGTAGGGCAGCGCCCGCGCCACAAGCCGCTGGCCAGCCCTCCCCTCCCTCACCCGCCCCCTCCCCTCACCTTCCTTCTTCCGTTTCCTTCTTCCCTCCCGCAGCTTTGAGGATGCCGACTTCTTGGGCGAGCTGCGCAAGCCTGACGACCAGCGGGCCATCAAGTGCGAGATTGTGTGCCGTGAGGAGGCGGTGGGCGTGTGGCGCAAGTACAAGGCGCTGTCGGAGAAGGGGCAGGTCAAGCACTACTGATTACACAAGTGTGGCGCCGCCCTGACGGTGGTACCGAGGCGCAGCGCTAGCGTGCTGCTATCAATCGAGGCATGCTGGCAGCGTCTCCTCACTCCAGTTTTTCTCTCTTATTTTGCTGTTTTTTAGCTACTCCCTTAAACCTTGATCCTGTGCTCACTGCTTGGGCCTGCGCGCCCTCTGCCGATTAGGGCTGCCCACAGGCAACCTTCAGTCGCCTGCCTCAGCTCCAAACCCAAACTCCAGCACTTTTGACCACATTGCCTGGCTTGAAATTTTGTTACGCAGTACCCATTCAACTTAGTTTTGCTGCTCTACCGTCTCTCTCCTCTCCGGGAACGCCACCACTGCAACATGCCGGCCTGCGCAAGCGCCACATGGCAACACTGATGGCAACCAGCTCCCGCCAGGGCGCTCCCATGCATGCGTTGAATGTTCACAGGACAGCTGCTATCATGCAGCGGTGCTGTGCTGTCCCATGCAGCAGCATGAATGCTATGCGCTGTGCTGTACTGCTGGCACAGGCTGGGGGCCCGCCTGCCATTCTGCAGGTGCCGCATGCCAGTGGCATGCGGCTGCGGCAGGAGGTGGCGGCGGCAGGCGGCGGCGGCGGCAACAGAGAGGGGTGGTTGGCGTGTAGAGGCTCCGGTCATATGCAACCATTCTCCTCCTGCCGATCGCATAGACATGGGCTGTCCAGTCGTCGGATTATCCATGTACGGCATGCCACGCTACCCTGTCCCCACGCTCAGCGCCAGCTCCTCCCAGCACCAGCAGCGGCACAGTACAGACTGCAACCAAGATCCGGGACGCGGCATGGAGCTGGCTGTGCCTGCGTGTCGAGGCCAGCTGCCGGCGCCAGATGGCACCATGGCCGGCCTGAAAACAACATCGTTTGCAAACAGCTCTTTCAGCACCCAATTCAAAATCTTTGAACTCTGCCAAATATCATCAAGCCCGCAACATGGCTCCACCCTTCGCCAAGCTTGCCCTCGGCAGCGTGCTGCTCCTGCAGGTCGCCTTCGTGATGGGTGAGCCCCCCGCTGGTGCTCATTGGGCACCGTGATAATTGCACAGCGGCATCCCAGCCGCTCGCCCCCTGGCCCCGCCGCTCGCCCACCCCGCCCGCCGCCAGCTGTATCCCTCCCCCGCCGCTTCATGCCCAGCCCCCAGCAGCACAGCCATCCTGAGCTGCACTACCACTGCAGCGTGTGTGCTCTGCCCTGCTACACCGACACCACCACCCCAATGCCCGCTCACCCTTCCAACATGCGCAGGCAACTCGCGCTGCCTGGATGACAACTGCGAATCCTGCAACGCCCGCAAGGGCACCCCCTGCTACAAGTGCCAGGAGGGCTACGTGCTGAAGGAAGATTTGGGCAACTCGTACTGTGCATGCGAGGATCCGGCCTGCAACCTGTGCACTACCAACGGCACGTGCACCCAGTGCTTTGTGGGCTATGGCCTGGACGAGGAGCAGTCGTGCCAGCCCTGCTCCGACAGCAACTGCTCCTGGTGCGGTGCCGACTACCAGACCTGCACCGAGTGCGCCATGGGCTTCTCCCTTGTGGACGACAAGTGCGAGGCCTGCCCTGAGGGCTGCACCGCCTGCAACGGCACCCAGTGCACCGAGTGCGGCTACGGCTACAGCCTGCAGGAGGGCGAGTGTGTGGCCTGGTGAGTCGACCTGCTCATTCCTGCCAGAAGGGACCCCTGCACTCCCGCGGGGCAGCCCATGCCGCCCTGGCCAGGCCTGGCGTGCCCCAGCCAGCCACTCAGCCAGCCCATCTGCCTGCCACCACCGCAGCCACTGATGTCGCGGGCTGACACCGGCCGCGCCCCCACCCATTCCCTGCCCACCCATTCCCCATTTTGCAGCGAGGACAAGAACTGCCGTACCTGCGCCGACCCCACGACCTGCGATGAATGCGCCCCTTCATACGGCGACGTAAACGGCGAGTGCAAGCAGGTGAGACAAGCTGCCGCAGCGCAGGCGTGTGCCCGCCCACCTCCCCGCCATGCCGCTAGCTGTGGCCCAGCCGCTCTGCAGCTGTCGCCCACCACCTTCACCACCGCACACACAGCACGACACAGCCCCATGCCTCAACCTCCCTCCCCTCTACCTCTACCCCTTCCCTGCAGTGCACGGACCCCGTCTGCCTCACCTGTGACGGCAAGGCCTCTGTGTGCACCGAGTGCCGCGGCAACCGATACGTGGCCGTGGACGGGAAGTGCGTGATCACTTCGGAGGCGCGCCGCCGCTGAGTGAGCGCCCCGCTGCAATCCCCCGACGCCCAGTCCAGTGTGCACCCAGGAGCGAAAGACAGACAGACAGCGACCGAGCGGCAGCGCCGTGTAGCATAAAGTACATCCCGTTCCTACACTTCCACATCTATTCAGTTCATGTCATGGACTCACCTGACTCAAGCCACTATCCACTCATTTTGTGCTGCCTACCACCTACCTGTCTTCCACCCATCACTGGCCCCTTGTCACCATCACCCTCTCTGCATCATTCCTTCCGAGCGATCCTTCCGGCTGCCGACAGCTGCACTCCAGGATACAGACCTCTCCAGCCCACACAACTTACACAACACACCAGTCGAGCGCAACGCACTGAAGAAGAGAGCGAAAGAATGGGGTTGGACTGGAATAGTAGAGGAGTGGCGCTGCCAGCGCTTCCTCCTGCCCCGGCCTCACAGCCGGATCACAAAGTTGGCTGCTGCCACGTGCAGGTGCAGCGGATCCTGCTCCTCCCTGCAGCAGCAGCAGCCGAGGCAGCAGAGGGGGCCGATGCAGCGGCGATGATCAGACCATGGTGCCTGCTGGAGAGGCGGGTGGAGCCTGGTGCAACAGGGCAGGCGCAGCAGCAGCAACAGCAGACCCGGCAGCAGCCTGCACACAGCGAGCGGCACAGGCGGGGCACGGCAAGGCGGGCAGCCAAGCAGCCGCACTGCCCACCCGATGCTGTCGGGGAAGCCGGACCGCATGCCATCCCGCTGCAGGCTGTAGCGCGTCGTCAGCTGGGGCACCTTGATTGTGGCATACGTCTGTGTGTGGTGGCAGCAGGACAGAAGGAGCGGTGTGCATGTGAGTACGGTGCGGGTGTGCAGGTCACCACCAGCTGGGAGGGCGAGGGGTGACGGCAAACGCAGGGCCTGAAGCAGGGTCTTCCCTCAGCGAGAAGGCACAGGCCTGTGTCGGCAGCTGCTTCCCCGCCCTACCTCCAGCTCGAATCGAGGGTACGGAATGCCCACCCAGCGCCGTGGGATGGGCACCCGCTGCTTGACGTTGAAGCCGTCCCCCGCAAACACCTGCATGCGGCACAAGCGGGGCTAGCAGCCAGGGGCAGGCACTGAGGCGTCAGGCATTCTGGCCGGCAGTGCCTTGGAAGCCGAAGGCTGTGCTGCAGCCATGCCCCCCAACAGCAGCAGCGCGGTAGAGCAGCAGGGCGGTCCACCCACCACATTGCCGCCGCTGCTGGAGCCGAAGTTGAACTGCGCCGCCACGAGCGGCTTGAACTGGCTGCGCAGGGAGCGGCTGGACAGGTCCCAGTCACCTGCTGGGGGGCAGGAGAGAGGGTGCCGGTGAGAAGGGAGAGGCGCTGTGCATCCATGGAGGCGGGACCGTGCTGTCCCAAAGTAGACGCTGATTCTGAGCCCACAGGTGCACCACCCCACCCCACCGCACCTCCAATGTGCTGCAGCCCGGCGCTGACCGCCAGCCCCGTGCCGTTTGGCAGCTGGAACTTCTTCCTGCGGAGGAGGGGCGGCGTGCAGGCAGAGGCACACACCGAGTCGCGCCTCCTTTCATTCTGGGTACTACAGCATAGTAGCATGCATCAAGCTGCCAACTATGTTTCCGTCCAGATGCTGGCCCGGCGGTGGCCGGCCGGCCGCCTCCCAGCAAAGCACATGGGCGCCACCGTGCCTGCCACCTCACTAGGTCCTGCCGCTAGCGGCACTGTAGTACTGCTGTACCGCACCCACCTGTACTCCACCATGCGAGCTGGGACGTTGAGGCTGAAGCGGCCGTGAAAGATGGTGTCCTGCGCAGCGTGGGCGGGCAGGTCGGGCAGGCAGGCAGGCAGGCGGGTAGGCAGCCGTGGCGCCCTTCCAGCCAGACCGCAAACGCCGTCGCCGCCGCCGCCACTTACACCACCACCACAAAAACATGACCGCACACATGAAGGCAGGCAGGCAGGCTGGCAAGCAGGCAGGCAAGCAGGCAGGCAAGCGGGCGACGGGAAGACAAGCAGGAAGAGCAGCGGCCGCGCCTTGCCTTGGCCGAGAAGCCGCAGATGAGGCGGGTGTCGGGCAGCGTGAGGTCGGCCTTCGCGGTGAACCTGGGGCCAGGGGTGTCGTGTTACGGTCAGGGAGGCAGCGGGCAGGCGGGCTGCCTGCAAGCCGGGTGCTGCTACATGTGCGGCGGTGCATGAGGCGGCAGCTTGTTCATTGAGACAGCCGGCACCCGTCCCAACACCCTCGGCCACCTGCCCCTCCCACACACAGCATCACCACACCAAGACCTCCCACTCACTTGACCAGCGACAGCACCCTCAAGTCCTTGCGCAGGCAGATGGCGGCGGGGTAGACCGCATCCCTGGCCCTGAAGCACGGAGTGAGGCGGGGGAGGCGGGGGGTAGGAGGGAGGGTAGGAGGGAGGGAGAGGAACAGATCCCTTGGGATGCACCTGGTGCGGTGTTGGGCATTGCAGCGGCAACCACAGCGGCGGCAGCAGCAGTGGCAGCACATGGAAGCACATGCGGAAACGGCAATCATCCAGCCCTGTGTGTACCCGCCGCAGCGGCCGGCCATAGCCAACCCACCCACCACAACCGCAGACGCCCGCAAGGCAGCCCACCATGTGAGCTTCAGCGGCACGGGGCTGTTGCGAACGTCCAGTAGGGTGAAGGGCCCCGAGGGCGGGGCAGCAGGGGCGCTGGCAGTCCGCGCCAGCGCATCGGCGGCAGGGGGCACAGGGTGGGCGGCGGCCGGCGGAGGAGAGCCTTGCGAGGCCATGGTGCTTGCCCAGCGCGCAGTTGCAATCCACCGGTCGTTACAGCGACCTCTCTAGCGCTCCAGCGCCAGGCAGGGCGAAGAGGGCTGTGAAACCAACGCCGGGGGCAGTCAAGGGGGTCTCCCAGGGGTGTGCAATATGGTCCTGATTGCTGCCAAGAGAACGAATGTAGGCCCGATCGTGCAGAGGGCCAGGGCCGGGCTTCCCTGGCGCGCTACCAAACACAGCACGCAGCACGGGGCAACTCTGGCAAGGTTTCGGGAGCCGTGATCCAGGCAGCCCATCTTTCCTTGGCCATCAAAGTTGCTGGCAGGGCGTAGCGCCGCCCCTCCACCCCTGCAATCGTCCTGCCTCTTTTGCAGTCCGTCCCTAGCTCAGCGGCCGCCTGTGGATCGGTGATCTCACCTGTTCCGGTGACTTCCGCACCATGGCCGAACGCCCTGCGAGGACCCCCACCACGCAAGTCACTCGGGAGAGGGTTATTGCGCCCCCCGACCGCTTCATCTTTGGAGTTCAGGACGAGGAGCTGATCACCTACTTCAGCGGTGCGTGTCGGCGCGGGTTTGAGTGCCTGTGCGGCGGCAGCCTCAGCGCCGCCGCGCGCCGCCGCGGCCGCCCTCTCGCGCAAGCAGACACAGACAGAGCAGCGCAGTTGTCTGTATCTGGCTTGGCTGCCATGGGTCGGCTGCCCATGTGCATCGCGACCCCACCCATCCTCATGCCGCTGCTGCCCCTCTTGCCCCTCCAATTCACCCCTGCAGACGTCTTTGGGTCGGAGCTGGCGCCAGCCCTGCCGGTGCTGCACCAGCTCGTCGAGGGCATCTGCACCTCTGACTTCACCTCGCTCCGCAGGTCGGTGCGCCAGTGGTTGGTGGCGCACCATGGTGGGATGAGGGCAGGAGCCGGCAGGAAGCCAAGGGCCCCGAGGGCAGCAAGCTGGGCCCGCAGGCAGCGCCAGAGGTGCCGGCACCTGCGTCCAACTGCCCACATGGCGTGCCTGCCCGCCTGGCACCTGGTCCCGCCACCGGCCGTGCCTGCAGGCGGCTGCAGGGCGACTATGAGTACTTTGGCGCGGCGGCAGAGGCCCGCAGTGATGTGGAGCTGAGTGAGTGGCAGGGGCGGCAGCAGCAGCAGCTGCTGCAGCAGCTGCAGCAGGTCCACGGTTCGGGCGGCGCCTTCCACAGGCCGCATGCTCCGCGCCTGCCTGTTTGTTTGCCATGCCCATGGCCCGTCCATCCATCCACCCTTGCCATCATTTATCCTGCCCTCCCTCCCTCCTCTCTCATCCTTTTCCACTCGTGCCCTGCTGCCGCAGAGCCCCCAGAGGAGCTCGACCAGCAGGAGACTCGCTTCCTGGCCGACTTCACACAGGTGGGGGGCCAGGTGGCGGTGGTGGTGGGGATGGGGTGGTGCTGCATGCAGGGGGGCCACCTGTTGGTATCTACGATTGTACGAGCACAACATGCGGGGCCGACGTGCGGGGCCGCTCCCAAGATCCCTCCCTCCCCCAGCGGACATCTCGCATGACGGTACGTGTCCTGAGTGTGCACACACTGCCCGCCACCTTCCTCCCCCTTGTCCGGTCACCCTGCAGCTCATGGAAGCCAGCCAGTACCGCATGCTGAGCAAGGCGGAGTGGGACGCGGCGCAGGCGGAGGACTTCCTGGTGAGTGGTTGGGGCGCGGCGGCAGGGAGGGGAAGGCCGGAGCAGGGACCCAGGGCAGGTGGCGGAGGGTGGGCAGGAGGAATGGTGCCTGCGCCCTTGTGCACCCCGCCGCCCTCCTGCACCTCCCCTCGCTCCCCAAGCAGCCACTCCCTGTGCTCTCCCCTACCCCCCGCAGTTCACGCTGCCCTGTGACGTCAAGTGGGATGCCATGGACAGCCAGGCAAGGCTGGTGGGGTGGTGGGAGGGAGGGCCGGGGAGGCCTGCAGGGGCATGGGCACCCTGGCAGACGCCACCCCCGCACTCGGCATGTTGCCATGCGGCCACGGGGGGGCTTCCTCCGCTGCTCCCCGCCACGCCCAGCCCCCTCTCTCTCACACACACCACCTATAAACCCAAGCATCCGCAACATGCGCCCTCCCCTCCCACCCGCCCGCAGCTGCTGCCGCGCTACTGGGCGGAGAGCCCCGGCGAGCGGGAGTCTGTGCCGGAGGAGATGGCTGACCGCATCCTGGTGTTCCAGCGGGGGACGGAAGTGGTGAGCGGGGTGGTGCCGGCGCGTGTGCCTGGATGTGCCACTACTGTGCGTGCTTGTGTGTGTGGTTTGGTGGTGGTTGTAGCGTCCGGCATGCGACCAAACCTGTAGGTGGGCTGCTCCTCAGCCTCGATGCTCCCCCACGCCTGCCGCGTCCCTTCTTCTGCCCGCAGGCCACCATGCAGGGCAGCTACTTCATGTTGAAGGTCAACCTGCTGATCAGGTGGGAGGTCTGGCGGTGGTTGTTCTTTGTTCTTTCCTCTATCGCGAGCACTTCCCGTGATTCCTGGAAGTGCTGCTGGAGGAGCAGCCAGGGAGCCGTGTGGCTGGCAAGCACCGCGGTGAGCGGCAGGGTCGCTTATGCCCTTCCCTCTGCCCTCCCGCCTGCAGCATGTGGCTGCTCCAGCCCATCTACAGCCTGTTCGTGGCTTTGATGTCCAAGGTGAGTCGTAGAGCCTGTGAGTGGTGTGAGTGTGAGAAAGGGGGGCTAGTAGGCGGGTGACCCGTTGCCGGTGAGCGGGTGGGAGGGCAGAGGGTGGCTGCCGCACGGTGGCAGCGGCGACCCCCCCCCCCACACACACACACACCGGCCCTCCTGCCTTGCAGCTGGGCGTGAAGCGGTTTGTGCCAGAGGCGCCCAAGGGCCTGGCCAGCACCGTGGACGAGGACCCAGCCGCCAAGGTGTGCAGCGCCGCCCTCCGCGCTTCTTCCTGGCCCGGCCTCCCACCACCACCTCTGCCGTATGCGATCAGTCGTGCAGACCTGCACCACCACCACCACCACCACCACACACACACTCCCAGCATGCCCGCGCACCACCTGCCCACCTGCCCACCTGCCCACCCTTCCCAGCAGGCCGCCATGGAGGAGGCTGCCCGGGCCGAGATGCACCCAGCCAGCACATCCATCGAGCGCCGCACGTTTGCCAGGTGGGCGCAGCATGGGTCGCCACAGCAGGGTGGGCTTATAAGCACTGTTCATAAGCACACGCAGGGCACCACCAGCAGCACTTCGCTGCCTGGCCCCGTCGCCTCCTGCACATGGTTCTGCTGCTGCACACCGGCGGCATGCCGCGCCCTGCACTCACCCAGGACACCCCTCCCCCCCTCCTCCACCCCGTGCAGGGTGTTCCCCGACGGCATGAGCGTGCTGAAGAAGTTTGCCAAGAAGGTGAAGCTGCAGGAGGCGTGCTTCCGAGACGTCGTCATCCTGTACCGCCAGGCGGTGTCGGACAAGGGAGTGAGTCGTGTACTGCCAGGCACTGCCGCTGCTGCCTGGCGTGTGGGACGTGTGTTGGGCGTGGCTGATGAGGCAAGGAGTGCGGCCGGACACCTGGGGCTAGGCCTAGGCCTGGGCTGAGCTTGGGCCGAGGAGCTTGCTCGAGGCTTGCGGCAGTCCTTTTTTTTTCTTTGCTTCACTTTCATGATGGAGAAGCCGTGCCTCCTGCCCTGCAGCCCGCCGCCACCGAAGTGGATGTGATCAAGGAGGCGGACCCAAAGTTCATGCAGGTGTGTGTGGTGTGGTGGGGTGGGGTGTGTGCACACGCAGTGGGCTGCCACCTTCCAGCCCTCCACCCTCCACCCCATTCATCCCCTTAACGCTCTTGTGTGTGCGCGCCTGCGTGTGTTTGTGCCCTGCCCCCTGCAGCGCAACATCCAGCTGCGCCAGTTCCGCGGCATCCCCATGGCCGACCTGGAGATGATCATGCCTGAGAAGAAGGTGGGTGGGGTGGCCATGCACCTGAAGAGAGAGAGAGAGAGAGTGTGTGTGTGTCTCCCTGGTGAGATGCGTCCAAGCTGCGACCAGACCTGCGCGCTCCCTCCCTGTTCGTGGGATGGACCGCGGGCCAGGCCTAGCGCGCTCGCAACCCCCACCACCGTGCACACCCCACCGCGTGACGCAGATCTTCGTGCCGCCCAAGGTGTTTGTGGAGATGGCGGTCACGCTGGTTGGCGGCGTGGTGGCCATGATTGCAGGTGGGTGGTGGTCGTGGTGTGGTGGTAGGTGGGCGGAGATGCTGTGAGGGGCTCTCCTGTTTGAATTTCAGTGCGAGCCGCGTCTCTCTCGTCTGGACCAGCCTGCCCCAGCCGTCGTGCCCGCCCCGCCGCCACCTTCTCCTCAGCCCGTGCCGCCGCCCTCTCCCCACCTCCCACCCGTGCCACCTGCCCTCCCCTCCGATGCCCTTTCTGCCTTGCCCCTCGCCCTTGGCCCCTCTGTGCAGCCCTGGGCCGGGCCGGCAAGGATGACGTGATGGACCTGAGGGCTGTCTACACAGCGGTGTCGCTGCTGGGAGGGCGCGCGGCTCAGGTGGGGGGCCGCTTTCGCTTCCTCCCGACTCTCCCGCGCCCCCGCCAGCGGCCTGCCCGCGGGCCGGCGTGCCGGGCCCGCGCCACGGCAGCGGGCACGCTGGCGCTCTGGCGTGGCGTTCCCTGAGCCTGTGCTTGCATGCTTGCACGGCTGCTGCCCTCCCGGCGCCAAGCACACCAACCCAACACGCTCGTTCCCCATTTGCCCCTGCCAGGTCTACACCAGTGCCATGACCCAGAAGCTGGCCATCGAGCATGCCATGGGCAAGGTGCGGGCTGGGGCCGGGGGGAGCGGGGCTGAGCCGCGCCGGCTGCGACCGGCGAGCAGGGCCTGGCTGGATGGGCTGGCTTCCTGTGCCGGCCGGGGGTGGCCGGTTTGTTTGCATGTACTGGCTTAAATGCACAAGGGACCAAGCTGCCTCCCACACCCCTGTCCCACCGGCAGATGCTGTACGAGCGCACCGTGGGCTCCGGAGAGGCCGTGCTGACCAGCCTGGTGGACAGCGTGTGCAGGTACTGTAGGGGCCTTGCCACTCACGCGTGCCATGCACTTTGCCGTGGCGGGCCGGCGCCATGGCTGCTGCCGCCCGGCGCTGTTTCTTGCACACACAGGCTGCTGTCGCCATCTTGATTATCGCCACCTTGCAGGCAGCGGGTGCGGGAGATCATGGTTTGCTACTGCGTGCTGCTCAACAGCCAGACGCCGCTCACGGGTGAGGCGCCTCTGGAGGACGGCCGGTGGCGGTACCGCGCTGGCGCACATCCCCCTGCCGCCCTTGTTTGTTGCCCTCTTGCTGTGTGGCAGGATGCGAGCTAGGATGTAGCGCCTGGGCTGCTCAGCCTGGGCGTGGGCTGTTTTGCTGCCTGCCTGCTCTCCTTGCTGTCCACCTGTTCATGCTGCTGCCCACCTGTGCTGCGTGTGCCCGCCATGCAGCCGAGGAGCTGGATGACGCGTGCGAGCGCTTCCTGGCCACACAGTTTGGCTGCAAGATCGACTTCTGCTGCGAGGAGGTGTGTGTGGTGGTGGTGGTGGTGGTGGTGGTATGTGTGGGGGGGATGTGTTGATATGCTCTGCGCCTTCTCTCGCCCCTCCCATCCGCCATCATCCGCTCGCCCGTCCCTCGCTGCAGGCGCTGCCCGCCATCCTGAAGTGGGGCCTGGTATGGGAGGAAGGCCTCAACCTGCTGATCGCGGTACCGCTGCCAGAAGCTCTGAAGAAGCTGGACGAGGTGTGGGATGCCATCCACGACTTCAAGGTGGGTACCGCCGCACCGCTGACTGTACTCCCCGCGCCGCCTCGCACTGGGCTCAGAGCGGAGCCTGCTCGCCTCTCTGTTGCCTACCCCTGCACCTTTCCTCCGTGTCAATTCCTCATTTGTCAGTCCACCTGTGCCTGCTCCTTGGTCGGTGCAGGGCAGCGCCAAGGCTGTGATGCAGAAGGCCAGCCAGGCGGCCGGCGAGGTGGCAGAGGCGCCCTCAGCCGAGAGCAGCACCAGCGGGGCAGCCGCCGCGCCGCCGCGGTCCAGCGGCATGGCGGGGGCGGCGCTGGGGCGAGCGCTGTCCACGCCGCGCGCCCCGCCCGCCAAGGGCGTCAAGGGCATGTTTCAAAAGTTCACCGCCGCCATGCACTGAGCGACTGCTGCGGCCAAGAGGCGCGCCGCGGTCCGCGGCGCCCGCCAGGCAGCAGCGCGTGCTGCGCGCCTGGCGCACGCCGTAACGCCCGGCCCAAAAAGCTTTGTATCGTTCGAGATGGATGTTGGTTTGCTGTGGTTAGTGTTTGGTGGTATTGACAATCTGTCGTGTGGAATTTAGCAGTGCGCATGCTGGGAAACTGAGCAGCACGAATGCTATGCAGAGGACAGCCGCCAGCGCCGCATGCCGCATCACAGCGGGAAGGGGTACGCCGCCGCCACGCCCTTGACGCCAGGGATGGTCAGGCGGAACAGACCGCCGTGGTGCGGAGAGGCGGCCTTCCCTGCGGCAGCCAAAGCGCGGAGCTCGCGACCGCTCGAGCCAGAGGCACGGGACCGCAGCCGGCTGTCGCCAGCTGGTGCTGCGCTGCCAGCTGCATGGCAGGACGCTCCCCCACATGCAGCCAGCCAGCCCGCCACTCCAGCAGCCCTCTCAGCAGCCCTGCGCCCACCCACCTGACTCCACGCGCGTCGTCACATACAAGTGCTCCAGCTGCTCGCCGCCAAAGGTGCATGCGGTGGGACGCTTCACCGGCAGCCCCACCAGCCGCAGCTCCTTGCCTGCCGGGCAGCAGCGGCGGCGCGGTGCCAGTGGACAGAGCGTGAGCCAGCAAACCGTGCCAGGATGGGGCAGCAGCAGCCCTGTCAGGTGTGCACCTCTGCCTCCCACCCAACCAGCAAAGGCCGGGCTGCCAGGCTGGCGGGTTCACCTGTCTGCGCATCGTAGCACACCACGCTGCCACTCTCCCCCAGCGCAACCCACAGGTTCCCATCTGCAGACAGACGAGCGCCAGGGCAGGGGCAGGCAGGCGGGCAGGCAGGCAACTTGAGCCGCCGGGCGGCTGGGGAGGAGGGGGCGTGCTGGGGCTCGCCCCCAGCCTTAAGCACAGCCCTGGCAACACAACACTGCCGGGTGGCGGCACAACACTGGCCAGGCGGCGGCGCAACACCTACCGGTGTCAATGGCCATTCCGTCAGGCACGTGCTTGTGCTGAGTGGGCGCATGCGACACGGTGCGGGCCAGCAGGCTGCCGTCCTCGCCCCTCCGCATCACCCCCTGCAGCGAAACGAAGCACAGCCGGGTCGGCGGCGACGCAGGATGCCAGGCGGTGCCGCCCACACCCGCCACGCCCCGCTCTTGCGCTGCGTGGGCACCCGCTGCCTGCGCCACAGGCTGTTGCTGCCGCTGGCGCGGCCTCCTCCCCGCACACCTGCCCGTCAGTCTGGCACTCAACGATGGTCTCTGCCCCAGAGTCCACATAAAACACAACCCCCTTGGCCTCGTCCCAGGCCATGCCGTTGGGCAGGTGCACCTCTTCCGGGCGCAGCACCTCCACCAGCTGGCTGCGGGCGGCAGGCAAGCAGGGGCAGGCGCGCAGGGTGGGGGAGAGGCAGGCGCGCGAGGCAGGTATGTGCTGGGCAGGGAGGCGAGGGCGGCGGCAGCAGGAGCTGCAGGGCCGGCTGTGAGCAGGCGGCAGGCAGGGCAGCCGGAAGCGGTCCGGCCGGAAGCTGGCGGTACCTGGAGCCGGGGTCCAGGCGGTACAGGCGCCCACGCTGGCCGTCCCGCCACTTGCAGTGCATGCGCCCCACCAGCAGCGTGCCCTGCGGCGACACCTTGCCGTCGTTGAAGCGCATGCCGTCTGCAGGCGTGGCGTGTCGGGGGTGGCGGCAGTGAGCGCGGCCAGCCGGCGGCGCTCGAGGAGTGCCATGTGCATTGCAATGGAAACATGGCAGTGCACGCCGGGCTGCTCACCCACGCCGTGCTCCTCTGGGGTGGTTGCCAGCACGCGCCCTGTGGTGCCGGCCGCCACATCCACCTCCACTATGTCTCGCTGTAGGCGGGGCAGGCAGGCAGGCAGAGGGTCAGAGGCAGCGACAGCAGGCTGGCTGGCACGGCATGTGGGAGCTGGAGGGGAGCTGGCAGGGCGGCAGCGCAAGCCGCCGGGCCTCTGCTGCTGCTGGCTGTGTCCTGACAGCCAGCCAGGCATCCAGACAGTCAGCCAGGCTAGGCAGGCAGCTTGCCTCCAGCGCCGCCAGCAGGATGTTTGGGTTGGAGGTGGGCACAACAGTGCCGATAGGCTGCTCCAGCTGGATGGTGCGGTGGGCGCCTGAAGCGGGGCTGTAGGAGTGAATGCGCTTGCTGTTGATGTCCTGCTTGATGCACCCAAGGGATAGCAGGCGGTTCAGGGGCACTTGGAGAGACCAGCAGCGAGGGAGGCGGCAGGAGCGGCAGCATCAGCGGCTGGTGGGTGCGGCGCACCAAGGCACCTCCCCGACATCCCTGACTCACCACAAAGTACAGCGTGCTCGTCGCGGCATCCCAAATCGGCGACTCTCCCAGGTCGCAGCCTGCGTCACAAGCCAGTTCACACTGCACGGCTGCCATCGCGTTTGTGCTGCTCGCCAGCGATCAGAAGATGGCCCCGATCAAGCGCATTGTGCCGCATCAGGCTCAACTCGCCCAGCTGGATGGCCAGCTATGCACAGGCTGACTTTTCTCGCCCGAAAGCTCGAGATGACCTTATTGTTGCCTCATCAACACACATCCAGCATCATCAAGGCCATCGATCAGCATGTCGATGGCAGCTGCTCCCACACAGCCTCCCGCGCAACGGCAGCAGCCCCGCAGCCCCGCACCAGCACGAGCAGCAGGCTGGCATGCAGGCGCAGCCGCGAGGCGATCCCGGCGCAGCCCTGCACAGCCTGCCGCCGCTGCTGCCGCAGCCGCCAGCGGCTCCGCCGCTATCAGCGTTAGTGGCGTTGACCTGACGTTCAGAGGGCTGGGCATCAACAAGCAGGTGCCAAAGAGGGGCCAGTGTTACCATGCCGCTGCTGCGATGCACCGCGCTCGATTCTGTGCACTACTAATGCTGCGCCATTCCCCCCGGCCGGCATTTCCCCAGGTGCTCGCAGGCGCCAGCCTGGAGGTGCCGCGCGGCTCCTTCCACATGCTGCTGGGAGCCAACGGCTGCGGCAAGTCGACGCTGTTGCGGGTGATGGCGGGGCTGTTCCATCCTGATGCAGGCAGCATTCGAGGTGGGTGCCTCTCCGTGGCGGCAGACTCGACGGCAGAAGCGCCGTGGGCGCGCTGCCACTCGTGCTGCCGTGGGCTCCTGTTGATCTACGCCATCCGTCGGCCCATTGCAAGGGCTCTTGTGCATCACGCATGGCTCAGCTGGTGCTGCTGCTTCCTCAGTACCCTTGCATGCCTGCCCGCCTGCCCCGCTGCGCGCTCCGCAGTGGATGCGCCCTGCGGCTTTGTGTTTCAGAACCCGGACCACCAGGTAGTGATGCCCTCGGTTGGGGCAGACGTGGCGTTTGGCCTGGGCAGGTGCGCGCTGGGTGGGACCTGCTAGTTTGCTTGCTTGTTGGATCCAGTGGAGGCTTAGCTGCCTGCGCTGTCAGCGCTGCTCAATGGCCGAGTATCGTGGCCCTCACCCTGGCAGCTGCCTCTGGATTCGACGTGGAACCCATCCAACGTTGATGTTGTACAGCCTGCAGGTACAGCCTGAACCCTGCAGCGGTACAGGCGGTAGTGCGCGACTCGCTGGCTCGCGTGGGGCTGCAAGCATTTGCGGAGCGCCCCACCAGCAGCCTGAGCGGCGGGCAGAAGCAGCGGGTGGCGATTGCTGGCGCGCTGGCAGAGTGTCCCAGGGTGCTGCTACTGGATGAGCTGACCACCTTTCTCGACTTTGAAGACCAGGAAAACGTGCTGCAGTGCGTGCGCAGGATCGTTGACAGCAGCAGGCAAGCGGCAGCAGCGGGGGCGGCGACGGCGGCGGCGGAAGCAGCCAGCAGCGGCGGCGGCGGGGCGCAGGCGGGCGGCGTCACGGCGCTGTGGGTGACGCATCGGCTGGAGGAGCTTCAGTATGCAGACAGCGTCAGGTGAGGCACGGTGTGGATGAGAGATTGCTGATAGATGGGAGGAACAGGCGGGGAGCTGCTTTGGTGGGGCGCGAGGCGGCGAATGGAGGGCTGGCGACTGAATGGGGGTGGGGAGGCAGGCTCTGCGGCGAGGTGAGTGGATGGGAATACTTGTTCTTCGCACCCCTGCCTCCGCAGCTACATGGATGGAGGGCGCATCACCTTTAGCGGCAGCCCAGAGGAGATGCGGGGCTACATGCGGCGGCTAGGCGCGCTGGTGTGAGGCGGCGGCTGTGGGGGTAGCCGAATGGCACTGTTGGTGGATCGCATATGATGTAAATCAGTTGGATCCTCACTCTGCAAACAATCAGTGTTTCTCAGGTGGGTGGAAAGGTCTGCCAGCAGAGGCGGCGGTCAGCAGAGGCTGCCAGGCAGGAGGAAAGGCGGCCGCCGGTGGCAGCCACAGAGGGCCAGCAGCGCCGATGCCGCCATCGCCGCTGAATTTGCAACCATCCGACCTTCTATGGTCTTCTGGGGTCTCGCATGAACCCCAATCCTGGAGGATCGGTTGGCGGCCGGGCTGTTTTACGTGTCGCAGCAGGCAAGGCGATTTGCGTCCGACTCATCTGGAGGTCAGGGGCACAGGGCGGGTGCAGCAGCCATCAGCAAGCCTTCTTCACCTCGTCCCGCCTGGCCCAGAGCCACAGCCGCTCGCGCCTATCGACCGTTGCCTTGGCAGCGCTGAGAGTGGGCAATTTAGTTGAAATGGAGGTGCGCTGGCGCCGTGGCTGGCCTGCAAAACACCCTCAGCCGCCGCCGCCGCCGCCCGCCGCTGTGGTGCCGCACCCAATCTGCCGCTGACCTCGACAAGTGCG